CTCTCTCTCTCTCTCTCTCTCTCTCTCTCTCTCTCTCTCTCTCTCTCTCTCTCTCTCTTTCAAGTAGGGGCCCATAAGTTTGTTTGTCTAGGACCCCCACTAAAGTGTTAATTTGGCCCGGCCCTGCACATGAGAGGGCAGAAACTGGGGTATGCCTCTGCTGGGGAGAGGGATTAGAGCAATGCTTGGGGAGATGGTGGGGCTTAACTTGTGGCACAACTGCTAAAAGGGTTTGCCATAATTGCTTTCGGAAAACCAAATATAGAGGGGGAAAGCAAACAGTTCTGGATATGTTAGTCAGAAATGCATGTGTTCTGGACAACCCTTTAAAACGTTAAAGTATTATTAAGATGAAGGTTTTCCTTAGGAAAGTTTAACCTCCCCACTTGGTAGTGTGGTTTGTATCTATGAATGTTTTACTAGCAAATATATTAACTGAAAAATTCCATTTTTAAATTTTGTTTTAGGACACCCTTCCCACCCATACACTCACACTATCAGATGTCAGTAAAGTATTACTGGTGAGTACATAATTGATGAAGAGCTCTTTGAAACCAGGAGTTCATGGATTGGGAATACAGAAGGAGTATTTACCCTGCTAAATATATATGGTAGCACCAAGCAGCAAGGCAAAAACAGGGCTCCATTGTGCTAGGTACTGTGCAACTTTAGCTTAAGTGACAACCTTTCCTCAATGAGCTTACCATTTAAATAGACAAGGCAGGGACAGAGCAAGGGAAAGTCTATATCCCTGTTCAAGGTGAACAGAGCAGTAGTTTGGGCATATAATATTAGTCCTGTGCCAGCAAAATCCTAGTATAGACCTAGTTACCTGGCAAACTCTGCTTTTGTTGGTATGGCTTATTTCATGTAGAATCATAGAAATTAAGGACTGGAAAGGACCTTGAAAGATCATCAAGTCCAACTCCCCTGCTCTGGGCAGGAATACTGCTGAAATCAAATGATCCCAGCAAAGTGTCTGTCCAGTCTCCTCTTGAAGACTTCCAAGGCTAGGGACTGCCCCACCTCCTTGGGAAGTCTATTCCAGATTCTGGTCAGCTGGAGAAGGCTGGAATAAGCTATACTAGCAAAAGCATATTTTTTTTTACATAGGCTCCTTCTAATATATTTTTAAACGTACATCTTGTTCCTAAGGTTTGAATGTGCTCATCTTTTCATCTGTACATAAATCTGTTGTGAATGGACTTTTACTGTGATGTGTATTTGTGGAATTTAGTAAAGCTATCTTTCCTGAAACTGCCATTTGCTGACCTGCATGAAAGTTGACCACAGGCTTGATAAGTTCTAGATCATAATTTCAGGCAATCCCTTTGAATTTCACTTGCAGGGATATCCTGAGCTCAAAAAGAAGGTCCTTCTTTATACCAAAATGTATATTAAAAAAGAAGGGTGTGCAGGGGCTTCCATATGAAGAGAAATTAAATAGGCTAGGACTTTTCAGCTTGTAAAAGTGATAGACATTTACAAATTACTAAATGGTGCAGAGAAAATAAATAGAGATTTATTATTTACTCTGTCAACATACTAGAAGTAAGGGACATATGATGAAACTAATAGGTAATAGGTTTAAAACTAACAAAAGGAAGTTGTTTTTTTTTCACAGTGAGGAATTAACTTGTGGAAACCATTGCCACAAACTGTTGTGGAGGCTGATAGTTTAACCCAGTTAAAAGGGGATTGGACAAATTCATGGAGGAACAGGTCCAGCAGTAGATATTGAACAGGTATTGAATCAGAACTTCCTAAACCTCTGAATGCTGAAAACTGCAGCTGAAGAGGTGGAAAATTCTGGCCATGCTGTGTCCACTTTCCCCCTCGGCATCTAACAGGATGAGGCAGGATCCTGGGCTGAATGGCTCTATGGTCTGACCCAGTAAATGGCGTTTCCTATTTTACCTTTTTTTACCTGTTACAGTCTCTCACATCTGCCCCTCTTAAGTACTTTGAGACTTGGCCTACAGTTGCAAAGATTTATCAGCATATCATTTAAGTGTATGATTGTTTTCTAACCTGAATAGTTGGGCTAGGGTAGATGCCATTTTACCAGTATATGGTATTTTGTAATGGTAGAGCTAATTTGGTTTAGCTAAACCAGAGTGAACTTTACTGATATAAATATGTCACTAGTAGAAGGGGTTTGCCAGTATAAGAGTGACAGTTTAGCCAAAGCAGCAAAAGTATGCCCAAGGTTTTAATAAGTAAGTGTTCATGCTGAGCCAGATGACACTTTTTTTGCGTATCTAAATTCTCTTGCTTGAAGATAGTGGGCTCAGTGCTGTTCTCACTTACCTCAGCATAAATTAGAAATGACTCCATTTAAGTCAGTAGCATCACAATGGTGTGAAATCCATTTTATGTGAGAAAAGAATCTAGTCCATTTGGTGGGGTGATCATTATAGAGGACCATCCGGTTGTCCTCTGTCCTATATTGATACTAAACTGGACGCCTTTATGTCCTCAATTTTTCTCTTCAAGAAACTGTGTTGGGAGCGCAAGTTCATACGTACTTTCTGTCACAGTCACCGTCACCTAAATCATGTCTAATTGAGCCAGCCTGACATGCAAGGTATGCAGGACTGGGCTGAGGTTGCTGAAGTGCTAGGTGTTGACATTTCAGAGTCTGGGGTACTAGTACTAGTTAATATCTCTCTGTTAAAGCATTCAAAATTGAGCTGAGTGTTATAAAAGCACAGCTCAGGAGCTAGAGAGGAATTTTACAGTGGAATACATAAAGTGAAGCGGGAGCTGGGGAAAGAGTAATGAAGAGATGTATGCTGTCAAAAATCTGATTAGAACGAGGGAAAAGATTTTTTTTTACCATCATGTGATCTTGATAAACAAGTTCTTGTATTTTTCCCCTCCGAAAAGGATATTCAAAATGTGGGAAAATAGTATCTATTGTCAGCAAATACTTATCAATAACCTTTTAAAGTTGTTTGATATATTGTACTGTTTCCTGTTTGATCACTTCCAAGGAAGGCAGTTCTTTCCCAAAAAAGGAAGGGCAGTTGCCATTCGCTCACTAGTGCCACTTTAGTCTGGCTGCTTAGTAATATTAATTGTATATCATCACTCTACCTACCAAGGGACCTCACCTGTAGTTAAGTTCATTATCCATTTAATGTTGGATAACCCTAATATCAGTCACCCCAGCTCAGCAACACCTGAGCTTAAGAGTGCTTATTGTAGCAAACATAAGATCACAAGACTTGTCATGTAGCTCAGATGTGACTGTTAAGAGGGCAGGATAAGTACCTGTATAAAACAGGATGGGCCAGAGGTTGCAGGTGTTAGCCAACTTATTTCTGTTGTAAGCATTTTGGTCCAAAGCGTATACAGCCTCTTGCCACCATCTGACTGAAAGCATTTAAGGAAAGCAGAGATAGATCTACAGCCCTCCCACTTTTTCCTTTGTGCCTTCCCAGTGAAGTAGGGATTTGTGTAAGTTCCCCTGTGTACAGGGTATCTGCATACGGCACCATATGCTTGGTGCAGGGGGCTGGACCGAATAATCTTCTGAGGTCCCTTCCAGCCTAACAATTTATGAATCTATGAGAGTGACATAGATATTCTGTGCTATTCCTGGCTGCTCCTTTGGCATAAAGAGAGTCTCAAGAGTAGAAGTGGCTTGCATATGCTGCAGTGCAGTAACCCTGAACCCATAGTATGGCACCTCTGAATATATTAGGAGTCAGAACAGGGAAGGAAGTCATCCATATTTCTTCTCCTTGCCCACTCCAGTAGTATTGAGAAAAGCTCACCTGAGGATTGATCTAGTGTACAATTTCTAAGGATCTGAGTGTCTGTTTTCCATTTGTTATGACAGAGCTATATGCAGATGGTCTCCATTAAATGTTTTCTGATATTTCCTCCTTAAATACTCTGTTAGTGGAAGGTAACTAACATGGGCACTACATTAGTTGTCCAATAAATTGGATTTATAGATTATGAATGAAGGCAAGTAGTTCTTTAAAGTAATTGGTTACATTATAACTATGGACACAAATGCAGCTTCTTTAGGTCTTGATGTCCTTGCAAGCTAGTGTTTGGAGCAAAGAGCTGAGAACTGCAAGCTTTGACCTCAACTTGGTATATAACCTTGGTCATGTCACTTGGCCAACTCTTCTTGGACATGATGGTGACAGAAGCAGTTGACAGCCTCTGCTGATCACGATGGTTTCTTTGTACTCTTTCATCAGCCTGTCTGTATCAGCCTGTTGCTTTGGGTCTTGTATTTACCTTGTAAAGCCTATGCAGCAGCTAAATAGCTCCTGTTATTTTTCAAGGTTTCTAAATCAGCTCTGACATCTGCTTCCCCACCACTGTTTCTGTGGCCTTTGGGTATGATTGGGTACAAAATAGGCAGCATGGTTGCCTATTATGCACTTAAGCAATTTATGCATTCCACAGGTATGCAGATAAATCAGAGTTTATTACAACGTAGGCAGTAAACAAACTGGCACTGGCACTGTGCTATGCTTCTGAGTGAATTGTGTACTTGTCTGGTATTGATAAAGTAAAAAACACTACTACTTGGTTACATTTGAGATTAAATCAGATGTGGGTGCAAGTGTGTGATGGTGTTGATATTACTATTCCACTTCCTGTAAATAAAAGGATATATCATCAGGCTTTTAATTTTATAAAAACTTAATTTTGCTTTTTTTGATATCTTTTTTTTTAGGCCCTGAGGGAAACTAATAAATTGGCTGAAATGGAAGAACCTCCTTTGCTGCCAGGAGAAACCATTAAGGACATGGGTATGTAAAAATGATGGTGGTGGCTCCCCCACTCCCGCCTTCCACCCCCTCCAGAAAGAAAACCATTAGAATACCAAAAATATCTACCATGAGCAGAATGGCTGTGCTGTCATCCACTGGTAAGGCAGCAGATTTGCCCTGCAAACGGATGTCTAGACTTGTCTGATTCCTTTAACTCAGACTATAGGAAAGTATGCAAGCATGTGGCATTCATTGGTATTCGTTTCTTTTGGATACTTTCAAGCCAGCTTGCTAATGTGGTGAATTCCAAGGAAAATAATTCTATGTGAATCATAGAATCATAGAAGTAGGGTCGGAAGGGACCCTGTAGATCTTCAGGTCCGACCCCCTGCCTGGGCAGGAGAAAAACTGGACTCAAATGAGTCCAGCCAGGTAGGCATCAAGCCTCTTCTTAAAGACCCCCAGGGTAAGAGCCAGCACCACTTCCCTTGGAAGTTGGTTCCAGCTCCTAGCTGCCCTAACTGTGAAGTAGTTCTTGCGGATGTCTAATCTAAACCTACTCTCCAATAACTTGTGTCCATTATTCCTTGTTATGCCAGGGGGTGCTAGGGGAAACAGTGTCTCTCCCAAACCCTTCTGGTCCCCCCTAGTGAGTTTATAGACAGTCACTAGATCCCCCCTCAGCCTTCTCTTGTGAAGGCTGAACAGGTTTAGGTCCCACAGTCTTTCATTTTAGGGTCTGAGCTGTTGTCCCCAGATCATGCGGGTGGCCCTCCTTTGGGCCCTTTCAGTGTTGTCCACATCCCTCCTGAAATGGGGCGCACAGAACTGGATGCAGTACTTCAGCTGACCAGCGTCGCATAGAGGGGGAGGATTACCTCCTTGGCTCTACTTGAGATGCACCTGTGGATGCACGACATGCACGGTGAACGTGTGGCTTGATTTGTATCACAGTTCTTAAATATTAAGCTTTGGAGACTAAAACCTTTGATAACTGCTGTACCTTGGTCACCTTCTTCTGGGGTTTCCTTTTCTTAAAAATGACATTTAATTATTTTTTTAGAAGTGTATGTCATTGCTAAAAAAGCAGGACTAAGGCTTGATATTCTTCTCCAGGCCCTTCCCAAAACCCCCAAACAGTCAGTAATAGTCAGTGGCTAAAGACTGACATAGGATCTATCCTATGCCCCACACATTCTGTTTTTTTCCTTATATTTGGCTGCTGTTAAATATCTTCAGCTTGAAGGCATTTACCCGGAAATCCAAGGAAAACAGCTGAGTAGCCTAAAGGCAGTATTGTATTTTGGAAATCCTTGGTAGGCATTTAAATGTATTTGAGTTTCTGATATGTGAGTGTGTTTGTTTCTTTCCCCTGCTTGTAAAACCTCCTGCGGGAGGTGTAAATACTAAAAAGAAAACCCTACAATAAGCAATTTGGTATAGGGAATGATGTGTGTAATAGTGAGCAAGATTTCTAAAGAATTTTTAAGGTAACCTATATAGTTCTGTAGATTGAGATTAGCATTTGCTACTCAACCCTGTTTTTTCCAGCATCATTTGTAATGAACTCTATTGCTTTCATTCCTATTTGACAGAGCTGGACTTTTCCTTTAAGAGTAAATTTTACTTTGCTTTTGAAACATTTTCTCCTGTGACTCGTTTAGGTTAGCTGTACCAGTTCAGAAAATCTACTGAGATGCTTGTTTTCCCTCATTTGGTTTGACATATTTCCATCCTTTGTAAAGCATGTGTGCACCTACTGATGATAGTTGCTGTATTAGAATTCAATTTTTATTTTAATAAGACCTAGTGGGTAAAGAAGAATCTTTAAAATTTGCAATTTCAACAAAAGGATGGATATTTCAAAGAGCAGAAGCAGATTTAAATGATCAACCTTTTCTCTTCCCCAAGAAGATTAGGTGCAGGGCATGGGAAGTAATATTACCTCTTTATTTGGCACTTGTTGGCACTTAGCTAGAGTGTTTTGTGCAGTTTTGGGCTCCATATTTTAAAAGGGATATGGAGAAGTTAGGGAGTGTCCAGAGGTGTACAAGAAAAATGAGAGAGCTTGGCAGGCAGGTCGTACAAAGAAAAGTGTGCTTAAGAGTGGACATGATAGTAGTCTTCAAATATTTGAAGGGCTGCCAGAAAGAAGAGGGAAAACACCTTTTTCTCTTATTGCAGAGAGCAGAACACAGACCAATGACTTGAAGTTGCAGAAAAGTAGGTTTAGATTGAATATTAGGAAGAACTTCTTTATTGTTACAACAGCGAGGCGGTGGAATAGATTGCTCAGGGAAACTGGAATCTCCATCACTGGAGGTGTTTAGGAAGAGGTTGGACAAGGATTGGTCAGGGATAATCTTAGGACTGTCTATGACCTATGCTCTACTATGAGTATTTGCCATACTTCTGGACTTCGCCAGTTGCCATGTGGGGCTGGGGAGGAATTTTTTCTTCTTCTTGCTACTATGTGTGTTGGAGGGGCAGGGGGAGGTTATGGGGTTTTTTTTCCCTTTCTATCTGTATGCAGAAGCATGGGGGGTGGAGAGGGGGAGAAGATGGAAGGGACAGGACAAGGGGTTGGCTGCAGTCAAGGGTTGAGATTTTGACTGTTGCTTGCCAATGCACCTGACTTGAACCTGGACATTCCTGGCCAGAGGGTATTCCCCTCCACTCAGGATCAGACCGATCGCTTCATTTGGGGTCAGGAAGGAATTTTACCTTGTGGTCACATAGGTACAGACTGTGGAGGTTTTGCCTTCCTCTGTAGTGGGAGGGATGGCCCTCTTCCTTGGATCTCTCAAATGTATTTTAACAACCTTGTAGCAGCAGGATCTTGGCTGCCATAGTTCCCCTGATTTGAGGGTTATGTCTTATGGCTGCATCAGGGTTGACTCTAACAGGTTGGACAGTGGATTTAGTAGGATGGTTTGGATAGTGATGATCCTGCGTGTAACACAAGCTGGATCTAGCAGTCCTCAATCACTAGACAGCCAAGCCAGCCCTCTCATAGACTTCAGTGAGAGTCACATCCCTCAGGCCTCCAGCAACCTTTGCAAAATGGTTCCCTTAGGACTTCAGGGCTGAAATGTCTGAAGGGGATTATTCTCTGAGAACTGCTTGTATTTGGAAGCTGCAGTGAGACCTTTTCTAAAAACATTTCTTGTCTCAGATAGCAAGGGGGTCCTATCATTTCAGAGTGCTATAAACTGGTGCTATTGCACAGAACCAACAGCATGTTTTAGTGACACAAGTTGTGGCAGGGCTTGGCCAGAGGGGGGAAAGCCACTTGAATGTTGGCATTTGTTTAATTGACATAAAATAGAAAGGCTGCTAGGGGAAGTGTTTGGCTGTAGAGATCAACAGCACCTCTTGTCTACTGCAAGAATAAATGAGCAGGGTTGAAGCCCACTTAAGGGGACTGTTTTGAGTCTCAATTCTGCTCAATTCAAAAAACAAATTCTTTATGGCAGGATAACTTGATGCCTGATGTTAAAGTTTAAACTCACCGGCAGTTGAATGCTAAACAAATTCTCAGCTGGTGTAAGCTCTCGAGGCTCCACTGGCTTCAGTCAGAGCCTCTGGCATTCCCTGCACAGACTCTGCTGCCAGAGTGGAAACTATACTCTTAGGAGATGCTCCCTGCTGCAGGGACTGCAAGAGATGGCAGAAGCCATGGAAGGGTCCCATATGCTTTCTGTCCACTGCCAGATGTCAGCAGTTATACTACATCTGCCAGAAATGAGAGTTCTGCCTGTCACCATGGAGGAGTTGGGTGCAGACATGTAAGTTTTGCTACCAGAACTGGAGTTCCACTGCTGAAGTTTTGTAGAATAGACGAGGCATTAAGCCTGGATTCTAGAAGTGTGACTCCACAAAGGCAGACCCCTGCATCTGCATGGAGCCAAAGGAACCAAATGAAGAGGATCTAAGTATAGTAATGGAAGCCAGAGGGAAAGTGGCTCCTTGCCTTCATAACGGAACATCAATTGGCATCACAAAGCTGACCACCTTCTCAGTATTAGTTTATATTTGGATGTCTGAGTAAGAGTCTTCTTAAATCATGACATCCAGGACAGATACAGAGCCAAGCTCTGGTAGGCAGAGACGAGAAGCACTGGAGGAAGCTCCTGACCAAGGATCTAAGCATGTGCGGAGAGTGTGCTCATCTTGTTAATCAGTTAGCGGGGAAGACTTTCTTGCTACAAAGTAGTCAAAGCTGTTCAGGACGCTGGGGATTCCTGCGCTCCTCCTTATCAGCCTTGCCAATGTTCCCTCACTAATGAAGTAATTAGCGAGGGTTAGTGCTATCCTGTAACCTCCCGTGGTGAAATAAAAACTTGCACTGTAGGAGTATATTACCTGGGTGGTATGTGGTGTTTCTTGTCTCAAAATAACACCGAAGATCTCTTTCTTTTTTCAGTCTAAGTCGTGGCAGGCGAGTTCAGCGAGAGACTGAGCTAGACCCACTGTGCACACACACCCGCAAATGGCAAAATCCGCGAATAGGGCACTGCGTTCATGAACAGTGCCCCGGGGGGTGGGAGGGGCCCAGCGGCAGCAAGTGTGGAGCTCCCTAGGAGCTCTGGTAAGTGTTTAAAATGTATTTAAAATGTGGGTTCGGCATTCACGAATATTGGAAACTGTGAATGCTGAACCCGCGATTACCAAGGGTTTCCTGTATTAAGATACTTGGAAGACAATTTTACCTGTTTGTGAGTGATCGCCTATCATCATCATATTCTGGTTTCTTTGCTTGTCAAGAAGGGAACTGGCTCTCTTGTGCTTGCACAATATTCAGCACCCTGTGGGTGTCACCATAGTTAATGTATTTTATAATAATGGATATTTTACAAACCAAATATATAACAAAGATGTAACTTCTGCTTTCTGTCCTCCTATTTATAGGTCAGTTTCATGTAGCTGTAAGCCTGACAATACATTTTATCTATTTTGACATGTATCCCAACCCAAAGATCCTTCTCTTGACTGATAATACCATTTTTTATTTATTTATTTTTTTTGCTAGTAGTAAAGTAAATGTGTCCAAAATCCTCTGGAAATTGCTGATTGAACCAAAAGGCTTCTATTAGTATTGTATCTACAGTGTGACTAATGCTAAAATTTAAAGGCTTTTTTCTGAGTAACCCTTGCTTCTTTTCTTGGGCAAGTATCAGCAATAAAGTGCTATTGAAAGAAATTTGGTTTATGTAGATATGCACACCACAACCTAGATAGCATCCGAGCTCTTCCTTTAGAGGAGAAATTAAATTCACGCTAATAACTTTGGAGAGCACTGTGTAACTCTTGATCAAGCTGGTGAGCACTTTTTCCTGCCAGCAGTTCCACTGATTTCCATACGATTACTCATATGCAAAAATGTCACAAAACAGAGTCCTCTGACAGCAGTGCTACTGCTATTTTGTTCCGTGTAGATTATTTATAAAACTTACAAAAGTGGCTTATCTCATTCTTTCTATTTTTTTAAGCCAAAGATGTAACTTACATCTGCCCTTTCACTGGAGCTATAAGAGGAACCCTGACAGTTACAAATTACCGGCTGTATTTCAAAAGCATGGAAAGGGTGAGATTTATAAGCATTCACTTTCCTTTTTCCATCGTATGTATAACCATGTCCAGTGCTGTTCCCTAAGCCCTTCATTAGGAATGTGCATAAGCAGTTGATTATATGTCTTAATGTTTGTTGTGTTTTTTATTTTCTCCCTTTTTGACTAACAAATTTCACCTGCCTTTAGGACCCTCCATTTGTCCTGGATGCTTCTTTAGGTGTGATCAACCGAGTAGAGAAAATTGGAGGTGCTTCCAGCCGTGGGGAGAATTCTTATGGACTGGAGATAGTATGCAAGGTAGAGTGTATGTGCGGGGGAGGGGTGGGGATGAGTCTTTTAAAGAATGATGTTCCTATAAAATGAAATGAAAACTACCTAGTTGTAAATCACATAATCTACCTGCGTGACTTACCACACAAGGATTTTTAAAAATCAGTTTCATGCGTTGAACAACAGCACCACTAGAGCTGAGAACCACAAGCTTCAGGTTTTTTCTCATCTCAAAGTGGTTTCTTACTGTCCCTCCACATGTGAGTGGAGTCTGACCTGCTTCCTATGAATTCTTCTTGAGAAGAGGCGCTGTAATTACAGCACGTTGGAGCAGGCATGATTAATCAAGTCTGCCGGAGTGTGGTAATTGCAGCGCTTCAGCGGACTCCAGTGTCACTTGTATCAGCATCCCCGTGCTGAAAAATGGTGGCGGAGGCTTGTTCGATGAGCTTTAATTAAAGTACCCCCACTGCCCTTTTTCAGCACGGAGATGCTGATACATGTGACGCTCCAGGTGCTTCATTAGAACAACTCTTTGAACCACTCTAATTAAAGTGCCCCCCGACACTCCCAGAGCAAGTGCCCAATGTCCTCTGAAATGTCCTTTGGCTGAGAAGCAGGACCCAAATTTAATTTTATGTTATATTTTCTTTTGCTGTTACTCTCCTTATTATCTTTTAAATTTGAATCCCCACGCCTGAAAGAGGAGCATTCCTGTTCATGAGCTTTATAGTTTGGCCATTATTTTGCATCAATGATTGCAAGCTTTTAGATGTTTTACTACAAATATTTTATTTTTGGGTAGGTATTTCTGCCCTTCTGGGCTAAATGATGCTATACGTGCTCAACTTGTTTCTGAATCCTGATTTTTGTAGGAAGACAAACAATGCAAACTTTACAGAGGTAGCTCTTCCACAGAAACTGATCAGAGTATATAAAGTAGACTACAGGTTGTTCAGTTTGTTTTCCTGGGATGTCAGAGTTGTCATATACATTCAAGATGCATCTGAGGTGATCACAGTGATAATGAGGTTTTGTTCAACTTTTCCAGGATATTCGAAACCTACGGTTTGCTCATAAACCGGAGGGACGAACTAGACGATCCATATTTGAGAACCTAATGAAATATGCCTTTCCGGTATCCAATAATTTGGTAGGCTATTTTTTCCTTATTTTACTGGAAAATGCAAAATGTTTGTATAGCTTCATGTGAAAATATTCATATAGTTCACTATTTTAGTTGTGTGATTTGAAGGTTGCATGTGTGAGGAGGACACATGCTCACTTTAAACAATTCCAGTGGATAAAATACTGGTAGCAATTAATTCTTCTGGCAGGAATCTGGGGTGTGTTGAATTGAATGAGGAAATCCAATATAATTGAGAGGTGTAGCTTGCAACAATAGGAAGCAATACAGCTGAAATGCCAATGAGGAAAAAAGCCAAAGATGTGAATAAAGAGCTTGGCATGACAAAGTCACCAACTAGTAAGTAGTAATGAGTGTCTTGTATTAAATTCAGTCATAAACAAGGGTCCTGGTTTTCTCTGATTAAATAAATAAATCCCCATTTTTTGGATATAAAAAAGTAACCCCAAATGCACATTTTTCCACGATTAAAATGAAATACTGTGTGTGTGTGTGTGTGTGTGTGTGTGTGTGTGTGTGTGTGTGTGTGTGTGTGTGTGTGTGTGTGTGTGTGTGTGT